TCAGAGAATACCCCATGTTTATCACTATACCTATTCTTTTTGAGAGTAAGTTTGTAAGAGTTGAGAATTGTTTTAGTCAGCTTTTTCACTGCTATGACTAAAAGATCTGACCAGAACAATTTTAAAAGAGGAAAAGTTTATTTGAGGGTTCACCGGTTTCAGAGATCTTAGTCCACAGAAGGTAAACTCCATTCCTCGGGGCTGGAGGTGAGACTGAACACCATTGGTGGGAGAGTGTGGCAGAGGAAAGCACATCATGGTGATCAGATAGCAGTAGATAATAATAAACCACAACAACACAGATACTGTAAAGAAATAGCACTTGACCCCTCCAATTCTGCCACTTGGTATGATCATCTAGAATGTTAACTTGTGTTAACGATAGTGCAAGCCATGTGCCATGATGCATCTTGTAATCCCAGCAACTTGGGAACTTGAGTCAGAAGGATTGCAAGTTCAAGGCCAGCCTCAACAATTTAGTCAGATCCCATTTCAAAATAAAAAATAAAAAGGGCTGGGGATGTTGCTCAGTGGTAGAACATCCCTGGGCTCAATCCCCTACACTGCAAAATAAACTAAAATAAAACAAAACAACAGTGCAAAGTGCAAAACAAGTCAAGTAGAAAGATTTTTGGAAAGTAAAAGTGTCATACAGATTCAGAGTAAAGGTGGCAGATGTTGATTATAGGGTTAATTTCATGCATATGTGGACATGTGACCAGATGTAAGTTCCTAGAAGAGGGCTGCTCTTCACTGGCTCTCTTTTGAAAAGAGTCAACTTCCATTTCTATGTGAACCCCAAGTCCAGCACAGATAATGAGCATGCGAAAGGTTTGGAGCCAAGCCACAGACCCAGATATGACACTTCTTTCGGGGAACAGCATAGGCATCACAACCCAGTGTTAGGGAAGCCAAGTCAAGAAATGCAATCCTAGGGAGCTAACCTATTTCCCCACAGAGAATGTGCTGTCCCCTGCCCTCAGCTGATATCCTGTGATTTGGCTATTTCTGCATTAAAAAAAAAAAAACACCCCATGACTTAAAGGTTTAAATGAACAACCATTTATTAATGCACAACTCTGAAATTTTAGCTGGGTTCAGCTGGGCAGTTCTTCTGCTGGTCCCACCTAGAGTCACTCATGTGGTTACAGTCCTCATATAGCTAGCAGTTAGCAGGTGAGGTAAGTCAGGGTGCCTCCCTTCTCCCTGTGGCTCTCTAGCAGCATCACCCAATTTCCCGACCTGGAATGGCAGGTCTGGAGGGAGTAACAGCTGAATTTGTGCACTCTTCTGAAGTCTGGGCTTCAGAAGTTACTTATCACATATTTGTTGGACAAAGCAAGTCTCAGGGCAATTCCATATTCAAGGAGTAGGAAAACAGACACTACTTGTTATGGTTGGGATATGAGGTGTCTCCCCAAAACTCCTGTGTTAATGCAGATATAATCAATGGTAGATGTTTGGATTATGAGAGCAGTAACCTAAACAGTCCTAAGAGCAGGAGACAGAAATTTGATACGCTAGACAGGGCAGGGACTGCCATTGCAACAGTTCCACGTTTCCTATTCCGGCCTGTCCAGCTTCACCTGACAAAGTTTCTAATGAGCTTAATCATTAACAGTATATGATCAAGCAGTGATCAGTGCACGTTCAACAACCTGATTGGATAAGGGGCGGAAGTTGACAGAGTATCTCATTCTGATTGGATGTAGAAACTCCCCTCCCTAAAAGTCATTAGCCAATAGTTTTAAAGGTTATCTCCAGCAACGGTATAAACCTCTAGACCGCCCTACCCGGCTGCAATGATCTTTGGACTCTTGCTAAAATTCCACTTTTTCGGTTTCTCTCACTTTCCATTGTCTGCCTCATTCTTTGGTTCTTTGGATCCTGGTGACAAAGAACTTAACACCTCGTTAAACCTCACCTCCTGGTTTGAATGGACTGAGTAGGCGTTAACTGTATAGGCGGGTGGGACCTGCTTGGAGGAGGTGGTGTACTGAGGACGTACCCTGGGAGGTTCCTTGTAGCTGCTTCCCTCTGTCCCCTCTCTGCTTCCTGACCACGCCATGAGTTGATCAGTTTTCCTCCTTGGGGCCTTCTGCCCTGATATGCTGCCTCATTTTGGGCCCAGAGGGATGGAATCGGCCATGTATGAACTGATACCTCTGAAATCATGAGCCTTAAATAAACCTTTCCCCCTCTAAGTAGTTCTCCTCAGGTCTTTTGGTCACAATGAGCGAAACGTAACTAAAACACCACCTTTTGTTGAAGAGGCTTCAAATTATTTTGGTTGTATTTTTCACTCTATGGCAAGCTTTCTAATCTATCATTTGATAATCATCACCAATCAGCCAGCCTGTAGTTATTGAATACCCAAAGACTAGACATGGTACTGGAGAGTGAAATATAATCAACTCTAAGATCCAGTCTGTGTCAGAAAAAGAATGTGAATGACTTATGACATGAGCAAAATATTGCAGGGCGTCTTTTCAGTGGAATGTTGGGCTTTGTCTAAGGACCCTTAAGTGTAATTGATTTTGAAAAGGACCCCCCTGCACCTTCTTCTTTTCTTCTGTAAAGGTTTATGCACAGAAAAAAACTGGTCCCTGGTGTCTGTTTTCTCATGGCAACCAGGACAATGGTCAGCTTCTCTCCAGTCAGCCTGCCATAGATGTCAAATCCAGGGCCATGTGCACTGTGACTCAAGCAGTCTACTAACTGAACTATATCCCCAGCCCCTCACCCTTTTCTTAATGAACATGACAACCAGTTTGACCTTTTGTTTCCTATCTCACAGGAACTTGGTGTGTTTATTTTTTTCAATGTTATTTTTTTATACCTTTATAAAAAATATTTATAAATTATTTTTTTTCATGTGGTGCTGAGAATCAAACCCAGTGCCTCACTCAGGCTAGGCAAATGCTCTACCACTGAGATACAACCACAGCTCTTATTTTGTTAATATATTTTTTAGTTGTAGATAGACACAATACCTTCATTTGATTTATTTATTTTTATGTGGTGCTGAGTATTGAACCCAGTGCCTCACACGTGCTAGGCAAGCACTCTACCACTGAGCTACAACCCAGCCTCCTGGTGTGTTTATTTTATTTCTTATTTTAATTGTTTTGGTTTTGTTTCTTTTATGCAGTGCTAGGGTTTCGCACATGCTAAACACACACTCCAGGTGAGGCACTCACAGCAGTAACTATGCCTGGGCTTGCCAACATTCTTGGTAGTCACCTTGTGGCCCTTGCTGAGGCTGATAGCCATGGAGTAGTGCAAAGCCATGACTGTTACTCTTCAATGCCTTCTGTGACAGAATGGTGGTTGATTTTTTTTTTTTTTGAAGTTTATAAAAATATTTTAAAGACTTCCAATAGGATTTCAACATCTGACTTTCAGATACACCAAGAAGACTGTCCCTGTGTTCAGTATAACCTTTGATTGTTTTTTACTATACTTTTAGTTCTGTGAGTTGGAAAAACTGATAGTAATACAAATGATTATGGATGTAAATGCAAATGAATTTTTTTTCTATTGATAGGAAAATGGGTTTCTGCTGGGTATGATGGCACACACCTGTAATCCCAGGGGTTCTAGAGGCTGAAGCAAAAGGACGGCGAGTTCAAAGCCAGCCTCAGCAACTTAGTGAGACCCTTAGAAACAAAACTTTGTTGTTGTTTTATATTTTTGGTTTTTTGGTTTTTGTACAGCAAGACCCTGTCTCTAAATAAAATATAAAACTGTGTTTTTTGCTCACATTCTTGGTGGTCAATCTCAGGTACCAAAAAGAAAAAAGGAAAAAGAAAAGAAAAATGGGTTTCTGCCAAGTAGAAAATATGATTATAAATATTCTTTTTATTACCTCCACAGTATTAATCAGTTTTGTACCTATTATGATTGCCTATAAATGTCTGCTCTTCAGATTCTCCTTTCAACCTTTTTTTCCCCCAATACTGAGGATCAAACCCAGTGCCTCACACATGCTAAGCGAGCGCTGTACCACTGAGCTACATCTCCAGTCCTCCTTTCAATTACTTTTTTTTAACAATTTCCTCCTAATTGATGAGTTAAATAAAAATTCGATGTGTTTACTTCATAGTTGTGCAAGAGTCATTATTTTACTTCTTTGAACTTTTTTTTTTTTTTTTTTTTGGTAATGGAGATTAAACCCCAGAGCACTTTAGCCCTGAGCTACATCCCCAGTCCTTTTTATTTTGAGACAACTTCTCCCTAAGTTGCTGAGACTGGCCTCAAACTTGCAATCCTCCTACCTCAGGCTCCAAAATTACTGGGATTACAGGTGTGCACCACTGAACCCAGTTGAAAATAATCCTATACGTTTCCTCATCTGTAAAATGGCAATAATAGCAAGAGGTCCTCCTCATAGGATTTTTAGACAGATGAAATTCGATTTGATGTGTATAATTACAGTACTGAACTCATAATAAGTCCTGGTTGTTTTTTTTTTGTGTGTGTGTGTGTATGTGTGGGGGGGGTGGTTTAGATGGGGTCTGTGTTGCCCAATTTGGTCTCAATTCTCCTGCCTCAGCTTTCAAAGTAGCTGGGACTATGAGTGCATGCCACTGTACCTAGCCTAATAAATTCTTGATAAATATTAGCAGCCAGACATGGTGGTGCATGCCTATAATCCCAGCATGTCAGAAGGCTGAGGCAGGAGGAACCCTGAGTTCAAAGTCATCCTCAGAAACATCGAGGTGCTAAGCAACTAAGTGAGACCCTGTCTTTAAATAAAATACAAAAATTGAGCTGGGGATGTGGCTCAGTGGTTGAGTGCCCCTGAGTTCTGCCCCTAGCACCCGCCCCCCAAATAAATAAATAAATATTAGCTGGGAATGTGGCTCAGTTGTTAAGCACCCTGGATTCAATTTCCAGTACCAGATAAATAAATAAATAAGATAAATAAATAAATATTCTTGTTTTTGTCAAAGGACTTAGAATTTAGTTGGAACTCGCATCTATTCCTGGAAGTGCAGCTACTTGACGCGAGCGTGACGGCTTCAAGGTTACTTTGTGGAGCCGGAGCGCTGGCCTCGAAGGGCTTGAGGGCCTTTGGTCCCAATGGGGTGGCCGCCATGCGCTCCATGGCTTCTGGAGGTGGTATTCCTACTGATGATGAGCAGGCCACTGGGCTGGAGAGGGAGGTATTGATGGCTGCAAAGAAGGGACTGGACCCATACAATATACTTGCCCCAAAGGCAGCTTCAGGCACCAAGGAAGACCCTAACTTAGTCCCATCCATCACCAACAAGCGAATTGTGGGTTGCATCTGTGAAGAGGACAACAGTGCTGTAATCTAGTTCTGGCTGCACAAAGGCGAGACTCAGCATGCCCAAATTGTGGAACCCACTACAAGCTGGTTCCCCACCAGTTTGCCCACTGAGCCTCTGCACTCACTCAGAATACGCTGTAAAGTTTCTTCTTTCCAATAAATTCTAGTCATTGCAGTGGCTCCTCCCATTTAAAAAAAAAAAGAATTTAGTTGGAAAATCATCTGAAACAGCGAACAAAGACTTTAAGAACACCGTTAAGCTCTAAACTGTGAACCAAAGGCTATTAATCCCAGTATTCAAAACAGGTTAATAAAGAACAGAGTCCTTGCAGAAGGCTTTCTGGAGGAGGTGTGGTCTTTGAAGGACCTTGAAAGTTGGGCAAAGTTTGGATAAGAGAAGAAAAAAAAAAGACTATCCCAGACTAGGCAAGGATCTAGGGCTGGATGTTTTTGCCCACCACCAAAAAATTTCATATGTTGAAGCCTGAGTGTTGGTGTTTGGAGGTGGGGTCTGTGGGCTGTAATTCTTTCATTAGGGTGGAGATCTCAGGAATGGGATTAATGCCCTTTTAAGAAGAGATGGGAGAAGACTTGTTTCCACTTTCTGCTCTCTGCCACGTGAGGATACAAGACAGCCACCTGCAAACCAGGAAGCAGGTCTTCACTAGACATTGGATCTTCCAGCATCTTGATCTTGGACTTTCAGACTTCAGAACTGTGAGATATAAATGTTGTTTCAGCCATCCAGTCTATGGTCATCTGTACAGCAGAACTGACAAAGACATGAGATCAAGGTAGGAGAGAACATAACTTGACCAAGCTTTGTGATGAGTTTATTCCTAGCTCCCTCCTGTACCCTGTTTACCCATGATTTGTCTATCAGCACACACACACACCACTATCATTTTATATATTCATTTCTCATTTACATACAGACAGACATACAATAAAAAACTAATCAGGTGAATTGTTTCCTTATCCACTAAGAGCACCTAATCAACTGTAGGTTTATAAACTCCTGAGGGTCAAGGGGTTGGGTTCCTTCCTCCCTCCCTCCCTCCCTCCCTCCCTCCCTTCCTTCCTTCCTTCCTTCTTTTTGTTTTGTATTTTTGTTTTTTTGTACTAGGGATTGAACCCAGGGGCCCTTAACCACCGAGCCATATCGCCAGCCCTTTTTGTATTTATTTAGTTTCATTGAGTTTCTTAGGGTCTCTGAGGCTGGCTCTGAACTCTCAATCCTCCTGCCTCAGCCTCCCAAGCTGCTAGGATTACAGGTGTGCATCATTACATCTGGCAGGGTTAGTTCTTTAGTTGCTTCTCAGACACACCTGGCACTTAAAAGTGTAGATTGGAACATGAGAAGGAAAAGGGGGAGAGTGTTAACATGCTACAAACATGCCCTAATGAGCACCCCCAAACTGTCTTCTGGTTGGGTCCAGAGTTGAGTTTGAGTTTGAACTGCTTCACTGCAAATCTCTCGTCACAGCTCCATCAGTTCTTTCTTTGACTAACCTCTCCAACCCAAGAGGTGAGACTGGCATTTTTAGTGGAGGAGGCTGGATTTACACAAGAAGCCCCACCCACACTCCCCCAGCAGACATCCTCATCAAAACCAAAAGGTACAGTAACTGTACAGGACACAGGAGAAGAGGAAAACCAAACATGTATAAAATACCTTCTGCAGCTTATCATCTGATTAGGAGGATAAAATGAAGCAAGTACACACCTAATTGGAAGTCAGGCCAAAGGGATGTCTTACAGATATGTCTTGAAGTCTGTTATGCCTCCAGCAAAGGCTTGGGCTAGACTGAGAGGGTAGGCATGCTACATTAAGGAAACAGTGGGCAACATGGGAAGCTCTGGGTAGGACAGATATTGAGGATGACAGATAAGGTTCAAGAAGGAAGCAGAAGGCTGGCTCAGTGGTACAATGCTTGCCTAACAGGTATGAGGCACTGAGTTTGATCCTCAGCACCACATAAAAATTAATTAATTAATTAAAGGTATTGTGTCCATCTACAACTAAACTATATATATATATATATAATATTTTATATATATATAAAATATTTATATATATAATATTTTATATATAAAATATTTTATATATAAAAAATATATATTTTTAAAGCACAGCTTTAAAAAAAAAAAAGGAGGAAGAGGAAGCAGAGCTGGGCATGGTGGCACACACCTGTAACCCCAGCAACTCAGGAGGCTGAGGCAGGAGGATTGCAAGTTCAAAGCCAGCCTCAGCAATTCAGCGAGCCCCTGAGCAATTTAGTGAGAGCCTGTGTCAAAAAAAAAAAAAAATGCTGCTGGGGATGTGGCTCAGTGGGTTAAGCACCCCTGAATTCAATCCCTGGTACCCCCCCCCCAAAAAAAAAAAGAGGAAGCAGAGGATAGATTATGCAATGTTTCCAATGCTAGGGAGTAAAGCTTTAGAAAGAGATGGAGTGGTGTGGTAAGAACCCCTCAAATTTTTTTGGTACTAGGGATTGAACCAGTTGTGCTTAACCACTGAACCACATCCCCAGCCCTTTCTACTTTGAGGCAGGATCTCACTAAACTGCTTAGGGTCTTGCTAAATTAGCCAGACTGGGATTACCAGCGTGCTCCACTGTGCCTGGCAGAAACCCCTTTTTTTTTTTTTTGTGTGTGTGTGTGTGTGTGTGTGTGTGTGGTGCCGGGGATTGAACCCAAGGCCTTGTGCATGTGAAGGGAGCACTCTACCAACTGAGCTATATCCCCTGCCCCAGGAATCCTCTTTTTAAGATTAATACAGGCTTGTGTGCTGGATGGATGGGTGAAGATGAACTTGAGTGGTACAACTCATAAGCCAATCCAGAGAGGAAAACAGAGTCACAAGTAGAGCAGAGAAGGGGACAGAGGGGAACAGAAGAAGGGGAGAGACTGGCAACAACCCCCACTACCCTTCTCCCTTGGGTGCCAAGCTCCAGCCACAGTGGTCTCCTCGCTGACCTCACACATGCCAGGTACGCTTCCTCCTCAGGGTCTTAGCTGTGCAATACTCTGCCCCAGAAATCTGTAGACCTCACTCCATCCTCCCTAGTACCTTCATCTCTATTCAAGTCCCCTTGTCACCTGACCAATGCATATAAAAGAGCACACTTCTCTTTCCCACAGACATCTCATCAAAACCAAAAGGTACTCCTACTTTTTTTTTTTGTCAGTGTTAAGAATTGAACCCAAGGCCTCCTCATGCATAATACGCATGTGCTCTACCACTGAGCTACAACTCCAGCCTACCTCTCTCATTTTATATTTCCCATGGTACTTATTGCCATCTGACCTAGAGGATTTTGCTAATTTGTTGTCTGACCATACCCAAAACAATGTAAATTCCATTAGGACACAGACTTTTTTTAGTTTACCATTGTATCCCCAGTCCCTAACCCAGGGCACTGAGAGGGGATTCAATGAATAATTGGATTGGTGTTGGGTAGGGAGATGAATATGATACCAGGGGTCTGAGACTGGGACTTGGAAGATAGGAGTACCATTAACAGAATAGGGAAGTTGGGATAAAAGGATGAATTTGTTCAACTTGGTACATGTTGAATTTGAGATGTTTGAGAGATGAATTGAAAATTCAGGACAGATCTGTGAGAGTAGTGGAAGACAGAATCCAAATCCCCAAAAAGTTTGAGGTAAAAGAAATAGTTTAATCAGAATAGTAGGACTGAGTGTCAAGTCCAAAGGGCAACAACACAAAGCCATAAATGGGAAAATAAATTGCTAGGTCAGAAACTGATCAATGTTAATGTTGAGTACGAAATGGGTCAAGAAAAGAAGATTGGGGTCAAGTCATGAAAAAGAATCCACAGGTTATCAACAGTTTGTGCTGGCTATGGGGTAGAACTGGTAGTTTGAGTACGCAGGATCCAGTTTCTGTGGCACAAGTCTGTAATCCCAACAGCTCAGGAGGCTGTGGCAGGAGAACCTCAAAGTGAGCCTCAGCAATTTAGAGAGATCCTGTCTGTAAAAAAAAAAAAAAAAAGAGGTGGGAGAGGTGGGAATGTGGCTCAGTGGTTTAGCACCCCTGGGTTTTAACCCTGGTGCGAAATAAATAAATAAATAAAAGGTATGGAGGAGGGGCACTCCAGGGCTTTGCACATGTACTATACCCCTGAGCTATATATACTCCAGCCCTTGCCTTAATTTTTAATTCTTGCTATAGTTAAGAATATTCGTCTTTGACTTTTACAGCCTACTCAGTTAATATGGTGCCTCTTCACATGGGATGCAGAGACCTTACATCCATTAGAGGTCCATTTACCACCCATGCCCTGCTATTTTTTAATGCTGTAGTAGCAGTGCATGTATTACATCTAGATACGTTTTAAATTCCAGAAGACAATGGTCTAATAATTGCTTTTAATAGATGTATTTTTTTAAATTAAGAGGAAAAAAAGCTTTTTTATTTTTATTTACCCAGTAATTTACTATTTCTGATATCGCCCTTCCTTGCCGACAGTCCGAGTTTCCCCCTGGAATCATTTCCCGTAAGCTTGAAGAATTTCCTTTAGCTTTGGCTATAATACAAGTCGACTGGAAATAAATTCGTCAGTGTTTAGTATCTAAAAATGTGTTTGCCTTCATTTACAAAAACAGCTTTGTGATATAATTCACACATAAAGTATGATTCAGGCTGGGCGCAGGGGCATACGCCTGTAATCCTAGAGACGCAAGAGGCTGAAGCAGGAGTATTATAAATTGAAGGCCAGAAGCAGCATTTTAAGTAAAGAGACCCTCCGCAATTTAGAGACACTGTGTCTCAAAAGAGGGGAAAAATAAAATAAAATAAAATAAAAGCAGGACTAGGGGGTGTAGTTCGTGGTAAAGCACCCATGTAAAGAAGGAATGCAAGCGTCGCTGGTGAGCCGGGCTTGGGTGGACCTGGCGGAAGCAGAGGTTTTGAGGGTGGGCTCTGTCCTTGGCTCTCTCCTGACACTTTCAAGCAGCTGGGCAGATGTGTCCTGGCATCCATCCAGCATCCTTGGGAACTCCAGGTGGGTGTGTGGCTTGTCCTCCCGCCCTGCCACGCACCTTGCAAAGAGCTGCACTCCTGGTATACCCCACCTGACACTCCC